CTATTTATAATTAAATTTTATTGTTTTATTGCCCTTTGAACCATGTCTAACTACTATCTCACCATAATATGTTGTAATCACTCGTGTCACGTGTAGCTGTTATTATGCTATTGAATTACATTATCTATGTTCTGCTTGCATGTGTGTGCCTCGTGAAACATTTTTATTATATTATTATTTATTTTACCTAATCTAAACTTAACTAACTTAAAAAGATCTCTATTTTTACATTATAGTTACTTTTGTAATAAATAAAGAATGAACATGAAAAACAAGAAATAAATTATTTACCTAATATTTTATTTCTTGCTGTCGATTATACTTAAGCCTACATATTGTCAATGAGTTAACCCTACTTTTTTATACTAATGGTAATAATGCACTAAATTTTTATTTAATTAAATAATGCACCAAAAAAGATTCACTTACCTCTCAAAATTTTCCTGGCTTTTTAATTATGCGACAGGAGCTGTTACAAATTCACCTAAGCTAGTTGTTAACTGTTTCACAGGAACAAATCTCATACTGTGAGTAAAATCGATGCTTATCTGTTCAGAACACAACGTTATACAATATTTCATTTGATAGATGAAAAACTTGACTTTTATTGGTTATAGGTAATATATAATGAAATGTAAGAGAGAACTAGCAACAAATTGTGAAAGAGAAGATGTGACAGGTGGGTGTGGCAGGAGGGGTTCTGATTTTTTATTTGATAGCTCTATAACAAAGCAGAATTGAAGGATATAAAAATTATAGTTTGTTTGAGCAATAATGATTTTATAGAGTATTTTATGTTTAATTCTGTACTTTTTCGAAGGGTGGTGGATAAAATAGAGATGATGACATGCTCAGACAAAATATGTCACGTGGGTCACATTAGGGGAAATTCATGATTTTTGGAAATATAGCCTTGTAGGATTAAGAACTTAAAACTTGCATACTATTAAAATATATATTATTAGGTACAATTTTTTGCTATTCTAATTGGTATAACATAAACCTAAAGTAATTTAATAAAATTTTGAATGTAAGACACTAAAACCTTGTGTCATGCGCAGTAAAGGGTACCCGGGGCAATAGGATTAAAATGATTATGAAAATGGGTAAGTCAAATGACAAGCTTAGCCAATGTAAAGGCCCAGTGGAATGGCATGTCCATTTTTTGCCATTCTTAGGTAGTGTAATGCCATTGAAAATTTATTGCTTCTGGGAATGGTATTTAAAGGGCCTAATATGGGGATTTCCGTGAAATTAATAGCATTATTTGGGCACCAAAACCACCCAGAAAGAGACCTGCAGTAAGTCTAACATCAGCTATGCTAAATAAAGCGCAACATTCATGACAGATGAGAAACCATGGACACAAAGATCAATGGCAAAAGCTATTCACTTACCCCAGTAGCCAACTCTTGCCAAGAAAAAGTTGTATCTACAACTAAATGTTGAATTCCTTTAACTTGCATGAACTAAGGTTTGAATAAAAGCATTTAAATGAATAATTCTATAAAGTCTTACAGTGGCTAATTCCCAAAGGCTTGTAATATTGACTCAGTGGCTACTTCTGTAAGGATTTTTGTATGGTTTTGTGTATTCATCCATACCATGTTTCTGTACTTTTTGGCAATGCCAACTTTACACCATAATTTTTTTTCAAAATTTTTTATTACTTGTTTCCCCCCTTTTTAAACAATACCAATGAATATTAATGAATGGCAATTGCTGTGAAGGCAGCAGTTTTAGTATGGTGTGAGGAATTGTCTTGATGGACATCATTTGTTGAAGTTAGTGAAACACTATACTGCTTCTGCGTTCCCTACGTTCAAATGCAACACTTTGGCATGTAAATCGTGACAACAATTTCAAGCATTGGCGAGCTAGTCCTTCTGACACCAGAATCAGAGTAATGAACAAAACACTTGGCTGTTATGCTACTTGCTGGTTCTCTATTTTAGTTATTTTTTTGGCTAAACTGAAGGTCTTAATAGATTTTGAAAACCTAAGTTGGTGTTTATAAAAGTCTCTTAGATTGTTATAAGAGTGATTTGAGACTATGCTGAACAATAGATATTATGTAGCAGGCATTTTATTCTCTGGTCATTACTATATGTGCTTAGTGATACTTTATTATCATAGTAAATGAATAAACTTGGCATCAAAACATAGCTGATAATCCAATTTTTTGTATTATATAAGTGTAAAATTCTTAATTTTGTAAAACAGTATTAAAAAAAGCAATCTTTAATTTTGCCTAATATGAGAATTGTGATATTTGCTCTCAAGGTATTCTCTCTTTTTTAATTTATTTAACCACCTCCTCCAAGAAGTATAAAATGTAATGAAAATGGCTTATTCTTACATAGATATTACTCAGGCAAAGCATACTTTTTATTGTCACCAATCTTATTTGGTTATAGAGTCATAAACCAGAAAATCAAACCCTCTTGCCATGCCCATCTGTTGCATCCTCTCTTTTAGAAACTGCTAATAGTTTTCTCTGATATTTTACACTTTGTTATTTATAATCAGTAGAAAGCCAATGTTTTAATCTATCAAATGCTGTATTATATTGCTTTGTTTTCTGTACAGAGAATTGTCTATTTCTCTTCCAGTTCAGACTTTATTCTGACAGGACGCGCATCAGCAAGCTTAGCTGAATACTTAACAGCTCTTGTAGCATAGTTAGAAAGTCCAAAAACTTTTGATAGATATAAGAAAGTGTATGCTTTTTACATGTTATTATTCTGTTTTTTGGTGCATAATTTAATTAAATAAAAATTTATTTATTATTACAATAGTATCATTAATATAAAAAAATGGATTAAGTTTCATCAACAGTTGACAGAAAAAATAAAAAAAGACCCAGGTAAATACAATATTTCTTGTTTTTCATGTGTAATCTTTATTTATCATTATAATAATGAATAAAATGTAGAAATTAAAAACTTTTTAGATTAGATAAGGTAAAAATTAGTGAAAATGAAGAAAAATAATAATAATTTTCATGAGGTATGCTCGCTAGCAACTCATGACTACCCTGTGTGATACATAATTCAATAGGGTAACATGATGGATGTGTTTGCCAAGTAATTTACAATATGTGTGGTGGGATTATTAGTTAGACACAGTTCAATATGTAATAAAACAAGATTTAAATATAAACAGATGTATGTTATTACAAGTTTAAAGCTATTTAGGATAAACAAATGCAGTTTCATGTTACAAGTTATCCTAAAAATTAAAATGTTGATTTAGATTTTTTCGTATTTTTAATGATGGTTACAAGGTTGGTCAATTTGACCAACCTTGTACAGAGTTAGAGTAGAGAAAATATCAGATAAAATATAAAGTTTTACTGAAAAAAAACTTGAAATTTATTTAGGAGGCTTTAAAGGTTATGCAAATAAAATTTGAGAATTTTCAGATGAAGAAAAATATTTTTAATCTTAACATGAAAATCACTTTGCACTTGGAGCAGTTAGCACTTTTTGACTCCATATATTCACTGAAAAATTTTTAGTAATAATATTTACCATATTGAAAGCATACAATATTTCATGAACATACACAAAACATATTAGTAGTTATAGTATGAAAACTAAAAAGGTCAGTTTGGAGTCACAAACTCAGATGATTCGACTGAACCCGTAGCAAGAATGTTAAAATGTTAATGATAGTGAGTGAACATATATTGAAATGCTAGTAACCATCTCTGCCTGGGCATCATTTACTGGACATGTCACGTGGCTTTAGTCATTACATTCAAAATTATATTAAAGTACTTGTTTATGTTATACTAATTAGTATAGCATAAAATTGTAGCTAATATTCCATATATTAATAGTAGAGAAGTTTTAAGTTCTTAATTTTATAAGGCAACATTAAAAAAATCCTGAATTTCCCCTAGTGTGAAAAATGTGACACATTTTCTCTTAGCATGTGATCTTCCATATTTTATCCACCACTCTTGAAAAATTGTGAAATTAAGCATAAATTACTCACTATATATTCATCATTGCTCAGACAAACCATAATTTTTATAGTCTTGAAGCATAATTTATATTTATTTCCTAGTTTTTTATGGTGATTATGAGGTTGCTCAAATTGACTGAATTGGTACATAGATTTGATAGTGAAAATAACAGATAAAATATTTAGTTTTTCTTTAAAAATAAAAATGTTTGATAATTATCTGGAGGTTATATAGATTTTGCCTGTGAAATTTGAAAATTTTCTGATGCATAAAAGTATACTTAATCTTAAAATCAAAATTATTTTGCCTGTTAGATGATCAATATTTAAATAGAAAAATGCATGAGCAAATCTTTACTAAAAAATTATCTGATATTTTGTGTGTGAAAGCCTTGTAATGTTTACTGATAATTTGTAAAAGTTCGTGAAGATATGCTAACTGTATGAAAAGTTATAGCATGAAAACTAACATGCACAAAATGATTACGAGGCTGGTCCCTAGGGCTGAGCCTGTATTGAGAGAGTTAATAAAATTTTGAATGAAGTCTACAAAACGTGATGACGTGTACTCTGACCCCATCTGTATAGAAAGGGTTAATGAACTTCAACTTATCTTCAACTGTTAAAAAAAATGTTTGGTCTTTCAGGCTTATAATTGGCATTAAACATAATAGTAGTTTTGTTTTATAACATTTAAAGAGTAGATGTACTTCTTTTTTTTGCATATCCGCTTTCCCTTCCTTCAAAAACTCTTGTAAGGGAAAGATTTATTACATCAAAATAATTAATACACTGTTTTGTTGTTTATCGTTAATTTGTCATTTGAAGTTACTAATAGTGATTTTGTGCATTTAAATCTATACCTATTATTTGTTTAACGTATGATGTCATATTCAAGTTTTTTTTTCTCTTTCTCTTTTAAAGGAACTTTATTATCTGTGATATCTTCATCTGGAGGTCAGAGTAAACACCCCATAGCTATATCACCAGCTCAGGTAAAGCACTCTATCTTTTTTGTTTGTTCAGTGTGTGTTAGTCAAAAGCAAATAATCATTATCCTGAAAAATAGAAAATTTTGTAAGCAAAATGTGTGGAATATATAATTTTAACAATGAACCATTATATCCATGTTTAAGTTTCTCAGTAATTTCATCATGCTTTCACTTTTTTGAGGTATAGCAGAAAATCTTAGTACCTTTTGTTTTGTGCTAGGATATCAAAATATTTGTTACTTTTTCATGGCTATTTTGTCAAATAGCCCAGAATGATTATTATATTATATTATGAACATGTGCATTATTTAAAAGGATTGCATTTTCTCATAGTGACAAATTTAAAAGTGATCTGTAAACCTCAGAACCCTTTGGGTTAAATTAATCTGTACTTCCATGAGAAATAGTTGAGAAGCTTGAGCAGTCTTTTTTCTTCTAACAGGAATGGTAATAGTTGCAGCAGAGCAGTAATTCAGTTGTAGGTTGATGTAAAGTAACATGACGCATAGTTTGCAGTTAAAGGATGATCTCAGTTTTGATGTGCTAGCATTTTTAGGTTTTTCTGATAATTTTCTGAAAAGATAAATACATCATCATCATGTAGAAATTACCTTTGAAGAAAAAATAGAAACAAAACAAAGTAACAGTTTATTAATTAAGAAGTTGTGCAACTTGACTAATTTTTGATGCTGGAAATTTCATATCCATGTCAGATCCAGTGAAAGTTTACAAGTAAAAGTGAATTCTCAGTCCATAATGGGCTTGCTTGTAATGCACATTAAATGTCTTACCTTAAAGTTTTGCAGGTTATTTTAAGGGGACTGCACTCTTCTATTTTTTCTCTTAAATGTGGAAAACATTCACAAATATGCAAAATCTCTGCGAGGATTTTCATTAACATTCATTCTCCAAAAGAAAATTTTTGTAAGATAGGGGGAAGTGGATTGGAAGTGAGGATGTGTAGCAGTCGAGTTCACAAACTTGGCAGAAATGGCAAACCAGTTGTTTTACTTCTTGTTCATAACAATCCATTTCCTTAGCATTCTTTCTCCCAAAAAAAATTTTGTAAGATAGGGGAAGTGGATTGGAAGTGAGGAGGTGTAGCAGTCGAGTTGAGAAACTTGGCAGAAATGGCAAATCAGTTGTGTTACTTCTCGTTCATAACAATCCATTTCACAGTAGAGATATTGTCAAGGTTTCTACAATCGATTTTGGTATATTTAATGCATGAAATTTAATAACAATCTTGAATTTTGCTTCTACGGAAACCTATGTTCAACATCAAGAAGTACGATAAAAATTATTTTAATTATCAAATACTTCCCCAATTCAAGTTTAAGCACTTATTATTACCCTAGTATAAATGGTGTGAATCAGGAAAGAATGAGAAACTTAAACAGCAGCAATATCTTTATTCTCCACATTTTCGCTTGATATTTTATAACTGTGTGTTTTGGTTATTATGGGAAAAAACCAAAATGTTGAAAATTTTACTTTCAATCTCTGACTTGTAGAATTTTTTCATGGTGTGAGTTTTGTTCAGGCTCGACTATTTACAATAACTACTGCAGTAATGATATAGAGTTCATTCTATAAAATAATTTAATTTTTCAATACATAAACTTGGTTTGCTTTTAGACTTCTAAATTGGCATGCAAAGTTTGGTCTGGATCAGTCCTTTAGGAGGAGATGTGTCCCCAGACAGGCAGAAAGTCTTCCTTCATATTGTATACTTACCACACTGGTAATTATCCAATATATATTGCATATGTGAAGAATGTTTTTATGTTTTTTTTACTCAGCTCTACCTTGTTTCATTTGGTAGAGCTAGATAATTATCACTTAATCCTGTGCAAATGTGATGGTACTTTGCAGGTGAAACTATACATGCCATGACTCTGAGCTTTCGTAACCCTGTCGCTACATGTATCCTTTGCTACTCATGACACATGGTTTTAGTGTCTTACATTCAAAATTTTATTAAACTATTTGGTTATGTTATACCAATTAGAATAGCATAAAATCTTAGCTAATAATCCATATTTTATTAGTATACAAGTTCTTAATTCTACTAATAGTGTGACCCACGTGACACATTTTCTTTTAGCATGTCGTCTCCCATATTTTATCCACCACCCCTCAAAAAAGTACGAAATTAAACATAAATTACTCTCTATAAAATCGTAATTTTGCCACACCTACCTGTCACATCCTCTCATTCAGAATTAGTTAATAGTTCTCTCTTACATTTAATTATATATTACCTAGAACCAATAGAAAGTCAAGGTTTTCATCTATCAAATGATGTATTGTATAATTTTATATTCTGAATGGTTAAATTTCAATTTCACTCAGAGTACCAACATTGTTCTCGTGATAAAGTTAACGCCTAGCTTGAATGAATTTGTAACAACTCTTGTCGCAAAGTTAGAAAGCCATTAAAATTTTGAGAGGTAAGGGAATTTGTTTACTTTTTTGCATGTTATTAGTCTATTTTCTTTGGTGAATTATTTAATTGAATAAAAATTATTAAGCGCATTACTATCATTAGTATAAAAAATTAGGGTTAATTCTCTTTGACAATCAACAGCAAGAAAAAAGAAGATTGGTTAAGTATTTTATTTCATGTTTTCACATTTATTCTTTATGTCTAATTATAAAAGTAACTAATATGTAAAAATAAGGATCCTTTTAGCTTATTTAAGATTAGATTAGGTAAAGTAAATAATAATATAATAAAAAAATGTTTCATGAGGCACACACATGAGCAGCTCATAGTAGCCCGTCGGTAATGTAATTTGTTAGTGTAACGTGAGCTGCACGTTCCGAGTGATTTACATAATGGTGCGGATAATAGTTAGACATGGTTGAAAGGGCAATAGAACAATAAAATTTAATTGTAAATAGATGTATACTGTTATGAACTTAGAGCTATTTAGAATAAATGAATGTAGTTTCATGTTACAATTTGAAGTCACTCTAGAAAGAAAAAAAGTAATTTAGATTTATTTCGATTTATATTTTTTTTTTTTGGTGTTTATGTGGTCGTTCAAATTGACCAATTCTGTTTTGAGATATGGTAGAGAAAATACAGATAAACTCTTAAGTTCTACTGGACAAAAAACATTTGCAATGCATTTAGGAGGTTTTACAGATTACACAAAGACAATTTGAGATTTTTAGTTTTAACAGCAGAATTACTTTGCACACAGACTATTCAAAATAAATACTCAATATATTCATGGACAAAACTCTATTTTATTAAAAATATTTCACTAGAGAATATGATTCTTTGTATATGAAAGACTTATGATATTAACTGAAAGACTGCCAAATTTTGTGAAGATATATGCATTATATTTAAAGTTAAAAGTATTACATCTATAAAGACTATAAACAAGTACAAAGAGATCATGTGTTCGGTCAAATTGACCGAGCCCGTGTTGAGAGAGTTAATGTATCTTCAAAAAAATGGGTAAATTTTATTAAAGAGTACAAGTATTTTGTGCACAAAAAATAAGATTTTTTAATTATTTATATTAAAATTTTGTTTCTGAATATATATTTTAATTAGTTGCATTTGGACATTGCATTGACTAGTTTGAGTGCAAGGTGATTTTCATGTTAAGATTAGAAATTTCTCCATCTTACAGTTTTTGAATTTCATCTGCATAACCTCTAGAACCTCCTAGATGAATTGCTATCAAAAGTTTTTAAGGTAAATGTTTATATTTTATTTTTCATTTTCTGTACTATATCACTAACTTTAGCTTTATCAACATACAGTGCAGTAGAATTTTTTAAATTAAGAAATAAAAATATGTACATACCATATCTTTCAAACTGTTTGAAAAGTAATCTTAAAATATCTTCCTTTGGTTATATTTGTAATTTACCTCTTTACCTTATCACATAACAGTTTATTTTTAATGTTATATTTTTCTTGCTTGTCCTTTATCATTATTTTTCATCTCGACACACCTCAGTGAGAAAACCCAGCATTTTATGCTTTTATCAGCAGAGGTATGCAACCAGTCAGTTGAATGTTTTTGCATTCGAGTAGTAAGTTAACCCTTGTGAGCACAGGCAAAATTGGAATTATATTTAAAATAATTATTAGACCTTTCAAGTATGCATTTTAAAACATATATAACACATAATTCACTAAAATATAAAAGTAAAACCTACATACAATTTAACTGTCTCTCTATCTAGCATTTTTCTACGTAAGACAAATGGTAAATGCTATGGATGACTAAACAGCTTCACCTCTATCAGATGTTAGTCATACTTGATAATAAATACTGCCTGTCAATTTTAAAATGATCATTGGAAGCTCATACTTTAAAATAAGCTCTTCCCATTGGTTAGAAACAAATAAGTACATATGATTTGGAAATCTCAATTCTAGGTTATACAAAGTTATATGGCAATACGTATTTCTTGTGTTCAGTAAATTGAACCAAAAGACTTGGCAACAAGCACATGTAAATAAGGTATTAAGCACAGATTTTGTCTAGATATACATAAACAGTTTAGGTTTAGTATTGTTCAAGTTAAAGAAGCTGAAAGTGAAAAATTGTGAATCTCGTATGTCATGTGACAACAAAGTTAAGTATTTTTTAAATGGTTTCTCTTGAAATAAAGGACTAAAAGTTACATAATATACAACTATGAATAATAAACTACACCACAATGCTAATAGCATTGAGATAAATTGATAGTAAAACTGTCTAATTAAATTTTAAATGTAACTCTGTTTGTAGTTAAACACAAAGCTACATAATGGGCTATCTATGCTGTGCCCACCATAGGTATTGAAAGTTAGTTCCTAGTGTTATAAGTCTGCAGACATACTGCTGTGCCTTTGAGAGGCAAATGTAACTTTGTAGGACTTCGTGATATGCACAGAAAGGGTTAATAGACATTACACAAACTCAAACAGTTCTTTAATGGAAATTTCAGAAGAAAAAGGTTTGAATATAAAAGTGCATAAAATATAC